GAGGGGAGGATGGGTGAGAGGGAAGGAAGGATGGGTGAGAGGGAGGGAAGGATGGGTGAGAGGTAGGGAAGGATGGGTGAGAGGAAGGATGGATGGGTGAGAGGGAGGGAAGGATGGGTGAGAGGCAAGGAGGAAGGAAGTGTGAGTGCATGGAAGGAAGGAAGGGCGAAGGGTGTTTGGATTAAAGACAAGAATTGAGGAGGTGCGTAGTAGAGCGAGTGATTAATTAGAACCAAGATGACATAAAAGAAAGAGGTACATAGGGAAGACATAAGAGTCTCCAGCTTTTGTACAAGGCGCCATTAATGACAGTTCACTGCTCTCTGCTGGTTCCCACATGTTCTCCCTGCACACAGATCCGCTGCATGTTCATTTAGCGCCCCTTCTTGACCAGGTGCTGGGGATAAGCGAGTAAGACACGACACTCCTCTCAAGGAGGATTGAAAGCCTCAGGCAGGTGCTCAGCTGATGATCTCGTTGCCTTATCATTAGAGGCTCTTCACGGAGCGCGGCCTCGGCTGCCCTGGCGCAGGCCGTGTCCCACAAGGCCTCGCGCGGGATCTTTCTCTCCCTTTGCTGGAACCCATTTGCACCGTTCCCCACCTTTCTGGGAAGCTTTGCGGTTTCTGTGTTGTTTAATGGAATGGGACGACCTCGCATGGAGTGACAGTGGTTTTCCCCTTTCACCAGGATTGACCGCAAGATGTCAAACACTCACACCACCTACAAGCTGGATGAGGCCCAGGCGATCATGAACGAGCTGCGGACCATCAAGAAGGCCATCTGCACAGGCGAGAAGGAGCGGCGGGACCTGATGCAGGTGGGAGGCGTGCGCCCCTTTGCCCACTCGTCTAGCTTTTCTTTATGTAGAATTTTTACAATATTATATATTCGTGCCCGCTTGTCTGCCTGCTTGTCTATCTTCCCTTTGTTTAGAATTTTAAAAATATTATATACTTATTATATGCACAGTTCATAGGTATCCGAAGACATACATGTATATATGGTATTACATATGCATGTATATCTTTAATGTGTGTGCACACATATGTATTTAAAACAATGCATGCTAGTTTCCCAGGACTGCCATCACAGAGGACCGCAAACCAGGGGGCTGAGAACCAAGGAAATGGATTCTCTCAGAGGCTAGAGGCCACAGCCTAAAGTCAAGGGGTTTGCAGGGCCGCACCCTCTGAAGGCTCTAGGGAGGCCCCTTCCTGTCCCTTCCAGCTTCCGGTGGCCACTGGCAACCCTTGGCATTCCCGGGCACGTGCCTTCACTGTCGCGTGGTGCCCTCCATGTGTCTCTGTCTAAATGTTCTCGTCTCATGAGGACGCCGGTCTGGGTGAGAGCACGCTCTAAGCCAGTGTAACCTCGTCTTGACTTGACTCCACCTGCGAAGACTGCAGTGGGCTCAAGTTCGCGGGCCCCGGGGGAGGACTTGAACATGGTGTTTGGAGGACACAATTCAAGCCACAGTGGTGACACATTCATATTGTTCAGTAATCAAAATAACGCAGAAAGTCTCTGATAAGTCTAGCTCTCTCCCCCTTCTCTCACGGCCCGTAACGACCCTTATTAGCGTGGTGTGGGCCCTCGGCGTGTTTCTGAAGACACGTGACAGGGCGAGCACGTGCTCAGCGGCCCTCAGGGACAGCCGGGACTGTGCCTGCTGCCCTGCACGGCTCCCTCCCAGCATCGTGCCCCGTCCCCTTCCCCGTGTCTGTGCACAGCGAGCTGCTTCATCCCACGTGTCCTCCCACGGCCAGAGATTGAGCGATAAGGCTGGGATCATTGTCGCTTCATGTTGCTGTTTTTTTGCAACTTCAATTCTTATAGTTCCTGTTGCTTTGAGAAAAAGCTGACTTTTTGCAAATGGATGCACGCTGGTCTTTCTGCTCCACACGGGCAGGCACCGGTTGGCGGCCGCTGCTCCAAAGGCTTCCTTAAACCCGCGGTCGCCAACCCTTCGGACCTCACGGCCCACCAGCGCTCCGTGGACCACTGGTTGGCGACCACTGATCTGAGTGGCTTTGTTTTCTCATACGAGCTTAATAATTCGGTCCCTTGCAGGACTCCGCGGTCTAGATCCAGCGCCAGCTGCGTTAGACCACCCCTGGGCGTCCTGGCGTCTGCAGAAACAGTCTTTAAAAATTGTAGAAAATCTGATTTCTCTTGAACTTTCACCCAAAGGGCTTCTATGTGCCAGAATACACACTTCCTCTGAGATCTGGCAAACTGGCGTATGTATGAGGTGACCTCGGACCATGTAGAATTATGATTGAAAGTTAGGCTGTGAAAACATGTCAATATCATCTGGGAGCTGTCTTTGCCCCCGCGTGGTTTATGAAGATCTCAAGGTAGCATCCATCTCAGACTCCTTTACTGCTAGGACATGTGAGATGTGACTCCTTCCCCCACTTTATGGAGGCATAGTTCGCCAACAAATTTGTCTAGATTTAAGGTGTACAATGTGAAGGTTTGATACACATATAGACTGTGAAATGATTGCCGCCATTATAACACCCCCACCACCTCACATAGTTAACTCTGTGTGTATGTATATGTGTGTGTGTGTGTGTGTGTGTGTGTGTGTGTGTGTGTGGTGAGGGCATTTAAGGTTATTCTCTTAGCTACATCAAGGCACACAGCACAGTTTTGGAGACTAAGTCACCTTGCTGTCCATTACGCATGTTATAACTGGAAGTTTGTACCCTTTGACTGACATCTCTCCGTTTCCCCTCCCCCCAACCCCTGGCAACCTCTATTCTACTTTCTGGTTCTATGAGTTTGAGTGTTTTGGGAGGGAATGCTTTTTTTTTGTTTCCAAGAGTTTTTTTTTAAATATATTTTTATTGATTTTTTACAGAGAGGAAGGGAGAGAGAGAGCTAGAAACATCGATGAGAGAGAAACATCGATCAGCTGCCTCCTGCACATCTCCTACTGGGGATGTGCCCACAACCCAGGCACATGCCCTTGACCGGAACCGAACCCGGGCCCCTTCAGTCCGCAGGCCGACGCTCTATCCACTGAGCCACACCGGTTTCAGCTCCAAGAGTTTTGAAAAACAGTGAAAAGGGTACCACAGTTCTCTGTATTGTTCACGTGCTACCAGGAGGACTCGATTGCTGTTTGATTTCAGTCACTGAGAGTTGTATTACAGGTGCATGTCCTGGACATTTCTTTGAAATCCGATGAGAATGGGGTTGGGTGGCCAGCCCGCCAGTGGGGAAGCCGCCCACTGGACGCGGAGTGAAACGCCTGCTCTTAGAGGGAGAGGCGCACGCCCACCTCTGTTACAAGTGGCTCGTTCATTCTGTTGCAGAGCCTGGCCAAGCTCACCGACGGCTTCAGGAATAACTTTTCTCTGACCGACCCGCTGCAAGAAGTCCCTCACCACCCAGGCGCGGTGGGCAACTCTCACCAGTTCTGCGACGCTGGGTCTCAGACCGACATCATCGGAGAGGTAAGTCACCGGGGAAGAATTGAGCAAGAAGGGCTGCTTTTGTGTGGTCATCTCTCTTTGGCTTTCCTTTTCCACTTCCTCTTCAGAAATGTTCTGGTTTTTGTGCCATTTTATTGGAAGAAAAAAATATTGTTTCTCACATCCAGCTGTGAAGGTTCAGTAGCCTGGGAGACACTGAAATTCCTTATTACCTATATCTTTGTGATTCGGATTCTTAAAAATGGCAGAATCCTTCTGAGAATTGAGTTTAGATGTCTCTTTGACAAATATGTGACTTTTTAGAGTATGGGTCAGCTAACTTTTCTGTATAAAGGTCCAGATAGTAAATATTTGGGGCCTTGCAGGCCATGCAGTCTCCGCCACACCTACTCTGTGGTGGTGTTATGCAAAAGCAGCCACGGGTGATATGTGAACTAATGGCAGGGGCTGTGTTCCAATAAAACTTTATTTACAAAAACAAGTGGTGGGCCGGATTGGGCCTTCGGGCGTTTGTTTGCTGATCTCTGGCTTAGACCAGTAAATCTCAAAGGCTTTGTGGCTGGGTCACCTTGGGTTCTATTTTGGTGCTATTTCTTACTCTAAAAGAATGTCAGGAAATGAAATTGAATTAAAATTAATTTTGTTTGGGACTTGAAAGAATTTCATAATACCCCTTTTTGATGATTAGTGAAACCTTGAGTTAGCCACACAAATAAAGTTGGCAGCCATCATTTGAAGCCACTACTTGAAGACACTGCTGCTGGAATGTCATTGAGTGAAGTGTGTCATTTGGTACAAATGGATAAACAGTTTATTCTGTTCCTTTGGGCTTGAAGATGAAATATCAATAGACTACAGATTGCCCTCCTCCATATTAAATAAAAAGAGAAAAAAGAAAGGGAAGAGCCATTGACAAAAACCTCTGGGTTTTAAATAATTGGCTAATATTTTGACATTTTAGCAGGTAGTGCTTCTTTGAGGAGACTATACTATCAGCAGATAATGACTTTTTATGCCTTGGATGTCCTGGAATAGCCCTATTTCATTATTCTTAAAAGTAGGATCAGACATTTGAGGCCGGGCGGGCACCTTTGGTTTAAAGAATATGGTCGCCAGGAGGAGAATCTGTAAGTCAGAAATGTCTGGCATGTTTTGCCTAAAGATTTTGGCAGGAGGGAGGGAAAGAAGTTCAAGACTCCGAATTCCGTGAATAACTCATGGCTGCTTATCACAAGGTTGGAATTAGAAGTAAGGGCCTCTGAACTGGCCTGACAGAAGCAGGACAGATGGGAGGCTCTCCGATGGCGCTCAAGGGTCGGGGAGAGGCTGATGACCCGGCGCAGCCACTGAGGGGGGCATGATTGGCTGCCTGGGTTGGCAGCTTCATGGCTCTTATCTCCACTTAAGTGGTTGTTTCCATCCCCTTGTGACGGGAGAGGGGATCGAGGTGCCAGGTTACCTAAGGTCACGTAGTCAGGGAGAGGCGGGCATGAGTGTGAATCAACATCTCTGATCCCTGAACCCCTGTGCTCTCTGCTACATCATGTTGTTCCAGAAAAATACAGTTCACCCTTCAACAATGCGGGTTTGAACTGCACTTACATGATGTGTATCGACAGCTTCATCACCAATCATTCAAGTAGAAGAGTTTCAAGTATTTGTTGACATGAGGTTATTTAAAAAAAAAAAGCTTAATGGCCATACTATCTGGTCTAGTAAGGTCAGGTCTACAGATGGAGGTGATTTATTGAGACGAAGTCATGTGTTTTCAGGAAAGAAGGAGAAGTAACCAAGGACAGCTACAGTGGCCTCCCAGCCAGGCATTTCTTTCCTTCCGTTTAGGGATTTGCTCACTTCAGTGCGATCCGTGTGGAAATATTTCAGTGCAGCTAGTGGTCACGGTAGAGCATGGCATTTCAGGTCTAATTCCTAAGGCGACGCGCCAGGCTCCGGCCATGGAACATTCGGAGTCCTGGTCCCTGCGTCACACAGCTAGTCTGTCATCTTAGATCTGGTGACTTCTTAGGAGAACAGCATTCTGTATTTATTAAGAAATGAGAGCATAATGGGGGGAAAAGGAGACATAGGTAATACTTTGAACAATAAAGAATGAAAATCAAATAAAGAAATGAAAGAAATGAGAGAATATACTACCCCAAATGAGCTGAATTTTTTTGCCTTTCTATCAGTTTTTATCAAGTCATTCCATATTTCCTTTAAAACGTAATTTGTTGTGTAGAATTACACAACAAATGAATATGCGTTCACTGTTTAAAAACATTCACCGATGTAGGCAAAGCAAACGTCTTCCCAGCCCCCTCCCAGCGCCACTGTCCGTGGTGGCTGCTGGGTAGGATTTGGTGTGTTTCCTTCCAGGCCTTTGGAAAATGGAAACTGGAAGATGAATCACGATAGCCTTCATTGTTGCTGAAAGTTGAAATGGATGGGCTATTTTAAAAAGATGTTTCTAATATGCTTTCCTTCCCCCCCCCCCCCCCGCCTTGGAAGTTTGTCTTCGACGATAAAACAAGACTTGTGGACCGCGTCCGGCTGAACTGGCAGTACGAGGAGGCCAGGAAGAGGTAGGCCGCCCCTCTGCGCGCCCCGCTCGCTGCCCCTCCTTTCTCCGCAGGGAGACTGGCTGCAGCATTCCCAGGTGTGACTGCCCACTTACTTGGAAAGCAGAGTCCGACAGAATAAAAAGTAAAACATCTCCATTTCTGTGTAGCTTCTGAATACATAGACCAGATTTCACGTGCATTTAAAATGCTGACATTCTCAACATTGCAAGTAGGTATAAAGACATGATTTAATAAAAATACAGACTTTTCCAGCTTTTCTTGTCCTCTTGGGTAGTTCAGAACTTTCTAATTCCCTCCCTCCCTCCCTCCCTTTTCTCTCCCCCCCCTTTCCCTCTCCTCCCCCCTTTCATCTGAGCAGCAGCCCCTCAGACCAGGTTAAGCAAAATGGTTTTATCTCTTCATATGTGGCTTCTAACTCTATAGGTTAATGGGAAAAGTCACACATTTGGGGTTGAAAGATGGTTCAGTAAGGATTAGGTCCACGGGTGATAGCAGGACCCAACCCAGTTCATTTTGACGGAGAGAAGGGACAGGCGGGCATTTCTGTTAACCTGTGTTGTAAATCACCTGCCTCCTGAACATCGAGACTTGACCTTGTTTGTGCATTTCCAAGGTTGTCTTTCCTCTTCCCCCCTCCCAGCCTTAGCCACGGGGCACGGGCAGAATGGAGAGGCTGTGTGTAGTCGCCACTGGTGACACCAGAGTTCAGGGCATCACCTCACCCCTGCAGGGTCCCTGCTTCCAATGCCGACCCTGCCCTCGCTTTCATGCCCTCTTTTTAGAAACTCTCTCTCTCTTTTTCATTCTGGAAAGAGTCTTAAAACCAAATATTTTTGAGATATGTGCTTTGGAAAAGCTATAAAGCGTATCTTTTTAAAGTTATCTTGGGGGGCGGGAGAGGAGGCGCGGCATGCCCGTGGGTGCAGGGTCCTGTCCGGGAGCTCAGCGTTGGGGTTGGGCCGGCTCGGTATACTGTATCATTCATGGAGGTCTGCAAACGCACTTTGTTGCCTTTTTCTAAAATGTAAAAATAGCAACAAAAGCAGATCATCTGACTCCCCGCTGGAGGGCCAGCTGGGGCTGACATGGGCCTTTGTTTGCCCGCCCGGGTGCTCTCCCCGCTCTCCCCCATCTTCCCGGCTTTCCCCGAGGTGTTGGTGGGGGGCTTCCCATTCCTACGTGGAGCTCGGCCAAGCCCCAAGCTGGGGCGGCCTCGTGGTCATCTGGGAGCTCAGATTCCCCACGGTGGCTCCTTCCTCCTCCGAGCTGCTGGGCTCCGTCAGGGCGACTGTCCCTCCGGAGCGCCCCGCGTGTCGGCACACGTTCCTACTGGAGCTGCACAATGTGGGTGCCGGAATGTGCTGTGTTGTCCAAAACGCACACACTAGGTGGTGGCTGCACTTGGGAGCATAATTGTTACGTGTTTTGCTGTGGCATTTACCAAACATAGCAAGTGATAATGTTGTTTTCTAGAGCTGGTATGCGGAGATAACGCATTTGGGTAAAAAGTTGAGAATTTGAGAAAATAACTCGGGAGGACACCGCCCTTCCCCAGTGTCTGTCCACTAAGAGCAGTGTTTCAGGATCACATGGACTGTGGCAAAAGACACTGCACTAGAGCAGGGTCCTGTCCCAGCCTTTCTTTTCTTTCTTTTTTAAAATATATATTTTTATTGATTTCAGAGAGAAAGGAGAGGGAGAGAGAGAGAAACATCAATGATGAGAGAGAATCATGGATCGGCTGCCTCCTGCATGCCTCCTACTGGGGATCGAGCCTTCAACCCAGGCATGTGTCCTGACCAGGAATTGAACCGTGACTTCCTGGTTCATAGGTCAATGCTCAACCACTGAGCCACACCGGCCGGGCTTGTCCCAGCATTTCAACCTTTGTGGGACAGTAGGGGCTCCTGAGAAAGGCCTTTCGGGGCTGCACTGGCAACATTTAAAAAGCAGGGATACGTAGCACAGACGTCCAGGGGAGGAGCATTTTGGCTGTGGTAGGCGGCCACCAGGGGTGCTGTTCCCCATCCTACACTGCACAGGACGCCCCCACACAAAGGATGGTCTCCCCCAGATGGCACCAGTGCCCAGGCTGAGGACCCCTGCGCTGTGCTGCAGGGTTGTGACATCTTAGCGGGGCCATCCCTGCGTGATTTCCAGCAGCTGGCCTGTGTGGGTGACCCCCGTAGCTTGACCCCATAGCGACACTGCTGGGAAAGTGGGAGACTGTACTGCTCAGCACCTGCCCTGCTCCAGGTGTTTTGAAGAAATTGTGTTCTTTGTGTGGTGCGATCACAGGAGGTCGTTAACCTGTTCGGGAGATAAACTCCTTCACAACTAATGGAAATATGGAGCAGGGATGCCCTGGTTGTGTATGGGTGTGTGTGCACACACGCACATACATGCGTACACATATACACACATGCACACACGCCAGGGTATATATGCATGCTTGAACACACACAACACATTCATGTTTACATATATACATGCATATATGCACATGCATTTTCCTTATTTTTATTACATAATCATACACGCATACACTGTTTTTGTCAAAGGCACAATCAATAGAGAGCATCCACCTTGCCCCTGTTTTACCCCACCTCCCACTGTTGATGGCTGAGTGCGAAGCCTTGCAGTCTTTCATGTAAACATGGAATAAGCTAAGGCCATTGTAGTTGATGCACAGCTTCTGTAGTGTGATAAGCACCCCTCCTTGGATGGACAGCTAGATGGCTGCAGTTTTCCCTTTTCACAAGCAGAGCCCATCCGTTAACAGGCCAGCCTTGCGATAGGTGTCTGGGTCTAGAGACACGTGTATTGACAGTTGTAAAAGATGTCACCAAATCGCCTTCCGAAATGACTTACCCGCTTTACACTGCCACCGACGGGATCTAGTGTCCTGGTTTCTGTATCTCCTTAGCACCATTAAATATCATCATTCTATAAATCTTACTAGCGTAATGGGCGGAGACATTCTCTCCGTTGTCATGGTGACAGCGGTGCGGTTTCGCACCGGTGGTGCAGCTCAACATCGTTTTTGTGTGACTTTGGCTTGTTGAAATAACCGCCTGAATTTTTTTTCAGACAAGTGATCCTTTCAAAGCATGCGCGATCCCATCATTCCTCTGTTCGCAGAGGCTCTCAACCATCCATGGGTGATTTTTGCCCCCAGAGGACATTTTTGTTTGTTGTGGCTGCCGGCACCAAGTGGGTGGGGCCCAGGGATGCTGTTAGACAGCCCACAAGGTGCAAGACGGCCCCAGAGCGAAGACCCAGGTGGCCCAGGCATCAGGTGCGCCGCAGCTGTAAAACCTTCCTCTTGTCTTGCTCCTGAATCCCTACTGTGTGTGGACAACATGGGCCTGGAGGAGCAGGTGGTCTGCTGACTCGGGGCATTAGCCCACTGCCCCGTCCTGCTCACTCACCTTGCTCCAGCCGCGTGGGCCCCCTCGCTGTTCCCAGACATGCCAGCCTCAACGCTGCTCAGATAGTGCCTGGAGCAGGCGGAATAGCGGCGCCCCGAGATGCCCATGTCCTAATCCCCAGAACCTGGCCTGTGTTGCTCTCCATGCAAAACCTCCTGGGCTCTGCCATTTCTAAACCGGGAGAAGTTTCTGCATGTGTGTACAGCTTTGCTTTTGTATCTAGAGGTGAGATTTTTCTGGGAATGCAGTGTTGTGGCCCGGCCGGCATGGCTCAGTGGTTGCAGGCTCGATCCCCGGTGTAGGTCATGCAGGAGGCAGCCCATCCATGATTCTCTCTCATCATTGGTGTTTCTCTCTCTCTCTCCCTCTCCCTTCCTCTCTGAAATCAATAAAAATATTTTTTTTAAATATGGTGTTGTGGACAATGAGGGGTTTCGTATGTATTTGAATTGAAAGGATGTTGGTGGAAGTAGAACTCATAATTGCAAATGGTAGTATGATTTCTAGAGACTTCTCCAGACCAAACCACCCCTGTCATGACTAGTTTTGTGTTTTCAACTCCGGTCATGTGAGATGTGTCCAAACAAGTGCTTCCTCCTTCCCCTGCAGGAGCGCCGCCTTGAGCCTTATGATAGGGATATTGGTTAAACTTTATTGGTTAAAAATTTTGGAATTTTTCAAGGCCAGTTTGGAAGAACAGGTCTCCTGGAAGCAATGCCGATGACGCAGATGGCTCCTTATTTTTAACCTAAGAGCACTTGTTCCAGAACTGTGCACAAACTGTAGCTGTTTCCATAGAAACGCGCGCAGTCCAGATAGGAACAAAACATTCGGCCCATCCAGCTTCGCTGTGTCTTAGTGTTTGTTGCCAGGATGGGTCCTGCTGTTCATCCGTTGTCAGGAATGAGTGTGGTGTGAGGATTCCAGTGGAATTTGATCAGTCGCTTGGATTTTTCTTCATTTCTCAAGTGACTGTGTCTCTGGGTTGTGGGGGTGGAGCTTGGCTGTGAGAAACAAAAGCAGGCGTCCCTCACGTTGTAGCTCCCTCCTCCCCATTCAGGCCGAGAGGAGGCCTGCAGACGGCCTGCTTTTCATTTAAAGTTGTGGCTCTGAGGATCTGTAATTCAAACAGGCAAAGATGTGAGGGCAGGGAGGAATGCTGCGCTATCAGTAGACCCTTACGCCGCACATTCTAGATCCAGGCTTCTCGAATTTCCCATGTAGACGAAGGAGTTGAGCTGAGTGGACACTGGCCGATCGATATTTAGTCCAAGCAGCTGAAGTGATCTCATCGTTCCTCTTAGGTCTCAGCTGAGATGTTCTTGAGCGCTTGCTTTTCATTTAAATGGATATTTCCACAAAGGAAACGAAGGAGAGCGGACTTAAGGAGCCTCAGATCCATGTCTGTGACTGACATCTGATGGCCGCGGCTCGGCTGATGCTGCTCCGTCACGTCGCATCACGGTCACGTGGGACCGAGGCTTGCCTGGGCCGCCACTTGCGTTCTGAAATAGCAGTATTTCCAGAACGCGCCGAATGGCTGGAGGTTACTCTGGATATGTTCAAATGCCTCACAGCTGTGTAATACAGAAAGTGCATTTTTTTTTTCTTGGAAAAATTCAAATCCCATATAAGATTTTCATGTGAATTGTGAGGGTCCGAGCAGCAGCTGCAGCATAAATGCGGTTTCCATTCATGGTTTCCTGGTGCCGGGTTGTAACCGAAAAGGCATTTGGGCCAAAATACGAAAGGAAAAGCGAGCCCTACTTCACTTCTGTCCACGTTGGACCTGTTTGGGGAATCGAACTTGGAAGTCACATGATCAGCATGAAACAGGAATGCTGGACGGAGGCTCGCCTTTCCTCTCTCTCTGCCTGAGCATAGGGACACGGATTTTAAAGCTTTTAGAGGCGTTTGTGAGAGGTTATACATAGGCCGTACAATGTATTGCCTATCAAAAGTGGGTATCAATAAAAAACACAGTTGACTTGCCAAAACCGGTTTGGCTCAGTGGATAGAGCATCGGCCTGCGGACTGAAGGGTCCCAGGTTCGATTCCGGTCAAGGGCATGTACTTGGGTTGCAGGCACATCCCCGGTGGGAGATGTGCAGGAGGCAGCTGATCGATGTTTCTCTCTCATCGATGTTTCTAACTCTCTCTCTCTCTCTCTTCCTCTCTGTAAAAACTCAATAAAATATATTTTTAAAAACAAAACAAAACACAGTTGACTTGCAGGGAGAAAAAAAATCCTCGCCAATTTGAAGTTGTGCTCAGTTCTCTTTAAAAATGAACTTGGAAAAGTTTCTTTTTTGTAAACTTGCATCATGACCTCACTTTGCTTCCATGTATTTAATTTCACTGAAGTGATTTTCAGAAAAGAGGCTTTCTGGAAAGCTTCTGCTGTGTTACCCAGAATCGGATGATGCGCTCGCAGGAGGGTTCCGACCCTGGGTCCACTGCTCGGCGTGGATGTGCAGGGACGTGGGGACTGCACAGCCGTGCTCGGCCCCAGGCGGGCCTGTTTCCTCTGGTCACCCTGCCACACCCAGCTGCTCCCGGGGTGGCTCGTTTCCAGGCCAGCAGCGTGGTAGACAAGGCTTATTGTTGTTAGGGCAAAGCCGTCTTGTCTGTCTCTTGGCGAATGTACAAGGGATCATCGAAGGAATCCTTCTAGAGCTTTTGGCTTCCAGTATAGACAGACAGACACATGTGCCTCCCGACCTGGCTGAGAGCAGGCCCCCAGTGGCTGCGTCCAGAGTGTGGCTACAGGGAAAGAAATCGCACTCTGCAGCAGGGGCCAGTATTCTTCTAGACTCACGTACGGCTCTGAAATGGACATGCAGTCATTCGCATCATTGTGAAATGGAATTCGTTTTTGAAAAGCACGATTCTTAAGCGCAGACATGCTGGCCTAGTGTTCGGCACAGCCCAAACAGCTTTTCCAGATGTGCTGCAGGAAGTCAGCTCCATCCAGATTTTGTTTCTGCTCCCGAGGTCGTCCCTCAGCGTGTGTCTTTGCATGTCTTTCTCGCCAGCTGTGGAAAGTTATGGTACCGTGTTGAAGTTGGGCCACGGTACTACTTGTTTAACGCCCACAGTGGGCAGAACTTTTGAAATTTGCCCTTTGCCTCTCCTCCCTCATATAATTCCCTTTTTCTGCCTCATTTTCTTTTCTGATAGTGGTGTTTTTT